CCACTAGATGTCGCTGAAAACAACAAATCCTACACACTGTGCCTTTGTACTGGACATTAGGTAGTGCTCACAGTAGAGCAATTCGATCTTATCTAATTATCAGTTGATCTCCGATCTCCTAAAATTGGTGAAATCTGTGCAGATAATCGGCCGGCTGATTTATCGGTGCACCCCTACAAGCAATATCTCAAGATTTGGTGAAAATGACTGTCGCTACATAAAATTTGACAAAATTATAGTTATTCTAGGCTAATGTCTCAACTGAGGCAAGCATCTCGAACTGAATCGRCTTCGAAAGTTAATCTGTACGTCCCATAAACACAATCTGAAGGGTCTGATAAAATCCATCCAGTGATTCATGTGATATTTTGCTAACAGATAAACAGAGATGATGTAAACAGTTCACACTAAAGATCCTGCGCACTCAGCAGGATTTGGAGTGCGTTCTGGGTATGACTCTCAGTTACAACCACACCAAATTTGAGCCCAATGTCGGTACAATCGACTGAGTTATACCAGTATTTTGGGGGTTCAGCTGTCTGTGGCAGCTCTGGTTCTAAAAGTTCATCATTAGTAAAGGCAAATGCAGTAATTGTTTGAAAGTTGTATTAAAAGTTGTCCAGTGGAGTGTAAAGTCGCACTAACAGACACAGACAATATTATCTTTCAGCCTTGGGCAATAAAAAAAATTAAATAAATAAATAAAAAATACAGGAAAGGAAGTAGGCCAAGCCCCCTTTCCAAGAACGACTGATATCTGTGCTCATATTCAAATGTTCACGGCATAAATACTCACTATCGAGGCAGAAGAAAAAAAGAGGAGTGCATGCAGTTATTCAAACTAGATATAAACAAATATCACAGAAAGTCCCTTTCAGGAAAGAGAGAGATATATGGGGATGAAAATAAACATTAACTACAGTGAGGCCATTCAATTTAATCTCAATGAGATGCAGCTTTAAGTGGAGTCTCAGTGGGGTTATTGGTGTTGTGATGCTTCTGAAAGGTGCTCCGGGGGGGCCATGGTGGTCCGCTGAAGGGTCAGATCCTTTCACCACAGATAGACTCAGGTGACAACAAAAACAAACCAAAATACGCAAACAAAGCTGCTGTTGAGTTGATCTCAGGTTGTTGTATAAAAGTCAAGAGAGAAGTGTCAAATGAGTCCGACGKGTTCTTCTCATTTATTGAGAAATGAGTAAATTCTCACACTCTAGCGCTCGCGAACGCAGGTGCACTGTTTTCTCCCTCGCGCGCCCGGTCTGATGCCCCGCACTGCTGGGGAGGTAAACAAAGCACATGTCCGCGTGCAGCGTTTCTGCAGCATTTCTGAGCTGCCGGGAGCCAAACGCAAAACGAGACCCCGTCAATGCGCTGTGCACTGAAAAAATAAAATAAATAAAATAAAATCAATCCGCTGCACTGTTGCATGAGTCGCCTATTGATCGTGGAGGAAGCCGCATTAATACCCCGTGCACAAAATCTCCAGAAAAGATCAATAAAAAAAGAAGAGTAAAATAAAACAGGCGCAGGTTCTGTGTGATTGTTACTTACATCATCCCATTTCATAAATTTGTTGCCCCATCTCAAACACTCGGGCACGGACACAGGCTTGAGCTGCAGCGCATGAACTCCCGGCTGTGCCCCAGCCATTGGCTCATCCACTCCTCTCGACGCACGGCGCGGCTAGAAACGAGTCTCTTATTTCTCTTCTTAGCTCTCCCTTTCCCCCCCACCGCCTTAACCCTCCTTCCTCCTTTTTAAATCTTCTTAAAGCAGGCTTGACGGAAGCTCCCACTACTGCTGCCAGTGTGCCATGTCCCGCATTGACGGCGGCGCGTTTCGGTTTTTTGGAGAGCGGTGGAGGTGAGCGCAGGCGCAGCGGGACTACTGACTCACAGACTGACAGGCAGCTGGAGGCCAGAGAGG